TATATTATATTAAGTTCTTAGCTTTCTTTCCCTACTCCCTTTAAGTTACTTGCGTCACGGATCTCATCCCTTGATAGCCAATACTGGCTTGGGAACGGATACATATATCTTCCTCTAACAACATCAGAGCAAGAACCCCGTTGCGTCCCGAGAGGGCCGTAACAAAGTGTAAGGTAATTACTTAGGTAATTGCACTATATCTGGTTGCAGTCCAGTACCATCATAAGGTATTGACGTTTATATACTTATATTGTATGTGAATGCTTTGTATATGTTCTGTGTTGTTATTAAATCTGTGTAGGTAACAGGTGTTTGCCCTTGTCCTGGTGAGGCTTCCCATAAAGCAGAAAAGAGAGAGAGAGAGAAAGAACCAAAGCTGTGGACAGGGTAGTACAGAATAATAATTCAGAAAAGGAGGATTGAGGAGTTCATACCAATCAAGGAGAGAGTGAGGAGTCACAGTGGCTCAAGCGGGTGTGTGCACGTGACAACGAGGCTAGTGTTGGAGCCGCATCCCCTAAACATGTGACGCTGAGCCCCTCTCCAAGTGCCAGGAGTGCACAGGCTGATCTGATAAAAGTGTAAGCACTCTACAGAGGTTTTGGTTTGGTGGGTTGTCCGGAAGAGACAATCTATCGACCCACAACAACATATTAATATTATTACGACCCACAAATAATACAGTACCTAAATATTTCAATGTCTCTGATTGATTTTTTTTTTTTTTTTTGCAGTAATATTATTCAATAGTGTGTATTGTGATATATTTATATAATATGTGTGAACCATCGCTGTACTCAAAATTAATGTGTGCATATTAGTGATTCAATTATTATGTTCATAAAACAATAAACAAATAATTTTGTTATTACATTATATACAAATGTTATATATATATATATGTATCTGCATGTTTTGTTCATCATAATGAACCACTAAGTTGGTATTGTGAGTCAAAAAGCAACAAAGAGTGGCCAGCACATACCAGCTACTGGCTGCCCACCCTCCCTCACCTCCTCACTCACCAACATACTCCTCCCACCATACTGTTTTTGCTTTTATTCACTATTCACAGACATTAAATATAAGTATCTACATGTTTTGTTCACCATAACTGTACATCTAAGCTCGTATGGTGAGTTCAGGTAATAAGAGGCCCTGCTCAAGGCCCTGTTTCTCCTCAATAATGCTCCTGCCTATCCTCCAGGCTTGGAGGTTTCATTGATGGAGGAATTTAGTTTTGTTGCAGTAAAGTTCCTTCCTCCCAACACCACTCCTCTACTTCAGCCTATGGACCAGAAAATCATTGCCAATTTTAAGAAACTTTATGAAAAGGCACTTTTTCGGAGATGTGTCGAAGTGACGGATGCCACACAACTCACCCTCAAAGAATTCTGGAAATAACATTTTAACATTTGTAGTGTTTTAAAACTTGTAGACAAAGCCTGGCAAGAAGTGACTGTAAGAATCATGATCTCTGGCTAGAGAAAATTGTGGCCTGAATGTGTTGCAGAACGAGACTTTGAAGGGTTTGACCCTGAACCTGAAGTGCCTCTAGTTGAGGAAATTGTTTCTCTGGGCCGGCAATTGGGCTTGGAGTTGGACGGTGCTGATATTGAGGCGTTGGTGGAGGAACACAGTGAAGAACTGACCACTGAAGAACCCCAGGCCCCTCAAAAGGAGCAGCAACAAGAGGTAGCTGAGGAAATTTCTTCAGGGGAGGAGGAGGCAGTACAGAATTTACCTTCCTCAAAAATTAAGAAAATGTGTGCAGCATGGGAAGAACTGCAAACTTTTGCTGAAATGACTCATCTAAATCAAGCTGCAGTAGGCCACTGCCTTAACCTTTTCAATGACACTGTGATGCATCACTACAGACAAATGTTAAAACAAAGGGAAAAACAAGTGTCTCTAGGCAAATTTTTAGTGAGACAAACAAGCAGTGAACCACAACCAGGTCCTAGTGGTATGCAGGCAAAACGTAGGAGAGAGTGTACCCCAGAGAAAACATCACTGCCTGATGTGATAATGGAAGGGGACTCCCCTTCCAAACAGTAACACTGCTCCTCCTCCCCCCCTCATCACCATCTTTCATACACCATCAAGGACATAAAGGTATAGGCATCATACCTCCATAAAGGCAAGATAAACATATGTACTGTATTGTAGAGAAAAAAAATTTATTCAGTATAAAATGTATTTGTAAATTAACACTTTCGCGCTTTAGATTAGAGATAACTCGTCGCCGTTTTCTCTTACGATTCCGCATAACAGCCGAGTTTTCTCGTCCATCGAAAAAATATTTCTATAAATTCCATTTTTTAACCGAAATGGATGGGGATACTTTTGTTTTGTAGGGAATTTATTTGAGAATGTTTTGGTACCAGAATGAATATTATATCACATAAACTTCTATGAGTAAAAAAAAAAATACACAAAGTATGTTTGGGGGTGTGGCGAGCGTGTGGCAGTGGGTTCCCTTTAGCCGTTGATATATCCAACACGTGGGAAATATTTGTATGTGTTATGTATATGTCTGTGTAGGGAATTTTACTGCGATCACTGTCATACAAATTATAAAATGTTTCAACAAGTATAAACATGACAAACATCAAACGAACGAAAACAATGCGTTCGTTTCTGCCGCGAACGCATACTGAGCGACGTGGTTCTATATTTGGCGCTTCTCTTACACATGCTTTGTACAAATGTTATACAGTTCATCTTATAGAAAATTTTATTGCGAACACATTGGTATAAAAAAGAAATACGTACATAGAAAAGTAGGGTCAGGAAACGTATAAACTTTCCAAGCATGATTTCCCCCCTGTGTTTTCGCCAGTGCGCTCGCGGCTAACTACTCTCCACTTCACACACTCTTGCGGGTGGGCAATTACCTATATTAAACATTCATATGCATATGTCCGTGTAGAGAATTTTATTGCGATTCCAATGATACCAAAATTAGCGATGTAGGACAACTGTAGGCTTCGCAACCATTAAGAGAGTGGAAACATTTTGTTGCTGTTTGGCGCTCTCGGCGAGTGATCTGCATAGTTTTTTATTTGGTGTTGATACTCCTTATGCTTGGGCGGCATTTTATAGGTATGCTCTTATAGACAATTTCATTGCGAACACAGTGATACCAAATTTAAATACGTGCGCCTTCAATTATTGTCAGGACAGTCAAAAGAGTGTACACTTTTCGGTCTTACCGCGTAGGTGCGCGAAGTGCCGAAAGCATCTGGGGTATTATTTTTTTTTGAGCGCCGAGAGCGCGAAAGTGTTAATATTTTGGAGGGTGGCGAACAGATTAATTCAATTCCCTTTATTTCTTATGGGAAAAATCGCTTCGACTTACGATACGTCTCTGGGAACGGATTGCCATCGTAAATTGAGGCCCCACTGTATTATCATCGCTAAATAATGGCATGTACACATATATTTTGACATTTTTAGGTGATACTGTGGTCACAAGCTGAACAGCAGTGCTGTGAGCTTATGCTGCGTGTGCCAACCTTGGTGGCTCGCTCAGTACCGAGGCTCTCACACCCAGGAATGTTGACCACGATTCTTTTTCTAGGTGGTGTCTTTTAACTATCGGTCGTGGCTGGACTATAGCTGCCCCTATCCCATGCGGAGAGTTTAAAATCTAGCGCTAGACACTAAATCAGCTATTGATGTATTACGAGGTATCGGTAAAGTTACTCACATCAACTATATATATGTATTGTGCGGTCTAAGGGTTAAGAAATTGTTGGAAAAACTCCTGTTGCTTAATCATGTTGATGAAGTGACTGAGAAAGAAATGGATTTTGAAGGATTTTCAAATGATATTTATCAAGAACTGTGTGTTGTTGGTGAGGTAGAGTTGACGCTGAACGATGTGGAGGAGTGGTTAGATACTGATGCAGTCGATCCACCTATTGGTCATTTAGCAGATGATGAGATTATCCAAAATGTTACTGGCACTGTTGACGACAATGGAGAGGAAGATGAGGATGAGCATGATAGCAGGTTACAATCTGCTGTGTGTGCTGATGCATTGTTCCATGTTGAAAAACTCCTTGATATTGTTTCACAAACTGACAATCAAGAGCTACCAGGCTTTTATCAACACCTAAGGATGATGAAAGATATTTGTCTCAAGGACATGACAAAAGGAATGAAACAAACGAAAATGAGTCGATATTTTTCACGAACTAGTAGCAGAAAATCAACCAGCACAGCCGTACCCAGCACCAGCACAGCCATACTCAGCACCAGCACAGAAGCAGTTGAAGCCAACACAGCAGCAGCGAGCACCAGCAAAGCTGATGCAAACATCTAAAAAATCTTGTGTGGTGTGAACAGTTAAAACAAGTGTTAAATTTAAGTGTACATAGTGTTGAAATTAAAGTTGCAGTAATTTTAGTGTACAATAGTTTTCATAAACTGTATTGTAGTACTCAACATACAACAGAACTACTTAATCAACACAGTGCTAACGGCATAATACAGTACAGTACGTATTTACTGTACAGCATTCACAACTCAATGAGTCTTCAAGATGGACATAACTCCAACAATAAGATAAATAGCAATTGCAATACAGTATTTTTAGTAGAGTAGTAATATATAGGTACAATATGTAATATGATAATGCATTTTTATTGTGTACAAGAAAAAAAGACACTGACGCAAACACCTGAACACCTCTTGCAACGAATCCAACGCTCCAACACACTGGGGTTGGTCCCATATAGTGTGTTGAATCAAGGTTGCACTGTACAGTATGACTAAAATGTTTGACATTTCAAGCCCTCTGGATAATAGCCGGGCCCAAAATTTAACGACTTAGGTATACTGTAGCCCATATAGGTCGTAAATTAAATTTAGTGGATACTGAACTCAATGAAATTGACTTTGTACACTGAAAAATTTGTACTTCAGGTCATTCATAGACCGAGGTTTCACTGTAAAATAAAGCTTATAGTTGAGCTGCAGACACAGGTACTGACCAGTCCTGGAGCTGCACTCACAGCAGAGCTCTCCTTGGCTGACACAACGCTGCTGTAAATGTGTGCCTGGAGTTTGTCTGGAGTCTGTAGTTGAAGGAACCCACCATTCTGAAAAGATTATGTTATATAAGCACTGCATGGAAAAAAACAGCGTTTAATGTAATGAAATGCAAATTTCTGGGAGAGCCCCAAAGGCAACCTGAAGTTATGATACACTGATCAGTGCCATACTATCAGGTGCCATCAGTCGCGGAGTTCTACTGGCCTACCTGAGACCTGATCTTCTCAGAAGAGATGCAGGGAGTGATGGCCTAAGAAAACTTTAAATATAAAGTTTGATCATACAGTACTTGCCACCTCCAGGAAAGAAAAAAAAAACAGCGTTGAATGTAATGAAACGCCATTTTCTGGGTGAGTCCCGGAGGCTCCAAGGAGCTATCAAGGCTGAATGGATATGTATAACTTTCTAGCATCAGTCAATGTGCATGGAGTTCTAGCCTACCAGGGACCACGAGCCAGAACCAGGGCCCCCTCAGAGAGGCACGAGGAGCAATGGCCTATTGAAACCCTCCTTGTGGTTGGGAGCAATCTATGTCTGCCATCGACTAGGACAGGCACCCAGAAAGGTAGGCGCCCCAAAACAAACCCTTATTCTGGTGAAACTATTGCTACCGAAAGCCGAACGAGTGGAAAGAACTCCCCAAACTAAAATTAGCAAACGAGCATGATGTCATCATGTTGCCACGCCGCCGTCTGCGCAACATGGGAGGGGGGAATGGTGGAGCCCCAGACCCTTGTGCCGGCGATCCAACCTACAGTTCTTAGGCTGGATGTCAAAAAATGTGAAAAACACCACTGCTGGGAAGCCTCTGGGACTCACCCAGAAAATGGCATTTCATTACATTCAACGCTGGTTTTCTGGGGGAAGCCCCATCGGCTCCCCGGAGCTAACTACCCAATGATAAGGAAAAATAGGGACTTACCCAGGAGGCAGTCTCATTCTTCGCCAGAAAAGAAGGAGACGGCTGCAAGCGAACAAAACAATCTCCACGACCAAAAGAGCACAAACCCCTACGCCGGAGGAGAGCATGAAGCTCCCCTACCCGACCCCCAGAGGCCAATGCCAACAAGAAAAGAGCCTTGGAAAAACAATCCCGGACCGAAGGGGCCACAACGAAACGAGGAGACGAAAGGAAAGCGAGCACTCTGTCCAAAGACCAGGACAGCTCAGGCGGCGCATGAGCAGGCCAGAGGTGAAACAACGCACGAGACAGCTTGCGAAACGGCGCAGACGCAACATCGATACCGAAGGCAAGCTGAAGCGGCTCTGCCAGTGCCGCACGATACGAGGCGACAGTGTTAGGCCTAAGATGATGGTCCTGAAACAACCAAGAGAGGAAGGACAAGACCACCCGAACAGACAAGGAACTAACACGACGAAGACACAAAAAGAAACAGAAGGACCGCCAGGAAACTTCATACTGCCGCCGAGAAGAAGCCCTCAGGTGGGACACCAACAAGGTGGCCACCTGATCACCATAGAGATGATGATAAACTCGAGTAAAAAAAAACATAAGCGAAGACTCGAGGAGAAGATCGAACCAGCCACATGACGTACCGGCCCGATCTGCTGAAAGAGGCGGAACCGTGGGAAAACCCTCGGGTTCGGACACCGAGCAAGCAGCGCCTGAAACCAAGGCTGGGCCGGCCACCAAGGGGCCAGAAGGACAACTCTTCCCTGGTAAGTCTCCAAGCGAGTCAGGACCTGGAGCAACAGCCGAACTGGGGGAAAGAGGTACAGGAACCCCTACCTCGACTAGTCTAGCCGAAAGGCATCGACCTCGATGGCCTCACGATCCGGGAAGGGCGCCACATACAGTACATGGGAAGATGCAGCGACCACGCCGACGCGAAGAAGTCCACCTCGGGGCGCCCGAACGTCTGGCAAAGTCAATGGAAGGACTCGTCATCGACCGTCCACTCCGTGGAGAGGGGAACGAAGCGAGACAGGGCGTCGGCCAAGACGTTGGACACTTCCTGTATGTGAACCACCAGGAGAGCCAAACCCCGAGAACTCAGCAGACGAGTCACCCAAAGCAACCAACCCCAAAGAGACAAGGACCGCATCGAACCCCCACGGTTCAGGCAATAAACCACCAGGGAGCAGTCCGAATGGAGCTGAATCGTCGATCCGCGGGCCACCCGAATCCTCCAAAGAGCAAACCACACTGCCGCGAACTCCCGCACAGTGCTGTGAGCTCAACGGAAGGACGTACCCCAACGCCCCTGACCGGCCTGGTGAGCACTGGTCACAAAGCCCCAGCCGAGAGATGACGCATCCGTGTACACATCGAGCGAGGACTCGGGTAGGCGCCACGGCACAGAACCCCGAAAAACCCGAAGAGGAAGCCGGTGATGCAGCAACCAACGCAAGGCCCCCGGGGGTCGAACCCTGCGATCGCGAAAGAGACGGAAGTTGTGACCCCGAAGGAACCAGAACAGCCGACGAAGCCAAATCCGACCCGGCGGGTAGACCACAATCGCGAAGTTCAGGCTCCCGCACAGCCCCTCGAGCAACCGCCGGGTGACCCGAGGGCCCACCAGAAACAGACGAAGGCGGGACAGCAGCCGCAGGAGAGACTCCGGAGGGAGAGACAAGGAGGCGGTCCAAGAGTCCCAAACGAGACCCAGCCAGGTCCGAACCTGAGAGGGGACCAGATGGGACTTCCTCCAGTTCACCAAGAACCCGAACCCGGTGAGCTGGGAAAAAAACAAATCCCTGGCTAGCAAGCAAGCTGACTGGCTGGGATCCCAAACCAGCCAGTCGTCGATAGTAGGCCAACACCTGAACGCCAAGGAGACGCAAACGGGCCACCACAACCCGTGTAAGGCGCGTGAACACGCGAGGTGCCAGGTTCAACCCAAACCGGAAACAACGAAAGCGGTAACTCAGTCACCCCACAACAAAACCGAGCCAGTCCCTAAACCGTGGATGAATCGGGACATGCCAATAAGCGTCCCGGAGGTCCAGGGACACCATCCAAGTGCCCGGCTCCAAAAGGAGCCGAACCTGAGACAGCGTAGTCATCCGAAAGGAGGGGAAATGAACCCAGGGGTTCAGACGGGACAAGTCCAGAATGAACCGCAGGTCCGTGCAGTCCCGTTTCGGAACCGGAAACAGACGGGAAACCCATCTGAGGGACGACATCGTTTCGACGACACCCAAGCGAACCCACTCCAAGACGACCCGACAGAGCGCAGGGGAAGAAACCTACCCTGTCAGCCCCGACTCCCCTAAGGGAGGGGGGCCATCCAACGCCACCGCAGGCCGACAGACACAACCCGAAAGGCCCACGAATCCTGGGACCAGGCGTGGGCGAACAGCGCAAGCCGCCCCCCATTGCCCCGTCAACGGGACAAACCTCAAAAGGGTCGGCGACCCTTACGAGACCCAGAACCCCGCACAGAGTGAACACCGCACTGACCAGACGAGGGAGGGTCCGGAGTAGGAGCCGAACCCCAACCTGACACCAGTGGCCTACCACAACGAGAGAAACCCCGAGCCCTGGCACGACCCTTCTGGGAAGACCCACCCCGGGACCCTCAGAAAACCTACAAGTCCGACATCGGACGACAAGCCGACGACACAGCCTGAATAAACTGCGCCAAGGCCGACTCCTCAAACAGAAGAGGACAAAAAGGCGAAGAATGCCCAAGAGCCAGAGCCCAAGCAGATTCCACGGAGGAACCCAGCACCATCTGCCGACACGCGAGATGGAAAGCATAAAACAGGAAAACCGCATCCCGCAAAATTGGCATGAACAGCTTCAACAAGGCAGCCGACGAACGCGCTGCCGAGGACAAGGCGCCAAACCCCGGGACGAACCCAGGCGTCCTCACATCCTCCACGAGCCAATCCGAGGACAGCTCCAGGAGGGAAAAGAACCGCAAGGCCGAAGCCAAAAGGCCCCGGGCGCGCAAGTCCTCTGCTATGAGCGCCACCGAAAGGGTGGGAACCTGCACATGGCACTGAATAACGCCCACATCGCGGGGAAGGGCAAAGGCAAACAAGCACTTATTCAGGTACTCAAGATCGCCCCCCAGGAAAACCTGAAGCACCGTGGAAGCTTCCCGCCACTCCAGTGTGCGGGAACGACAGAAGGAATGCCAGGAATCCAGAACAAACAAGGGGCAGTCCGCTAGCCAGGAAGACTCCGAAACCTCGTAACGGAGCCAGAATGGGAACGAAGTCCCAAATCTGAACTCGGACGGATCCATTTCCGAGGCATAATCTGGGTCACGCAGGAGGTAAGCTGCAAAGGCCGCCCGCACCACACCAGGTTGGATGCGATAAGCCGAAAACCTCCGGAAAGACGGAACCAACGTACCCGGGGGAACACGGAACGGAACCCGGGGAGGGGCCGACACCAAATCTAACTTGTACGCAGAGGGGGGAAAAGAAAACCCCACACCTTGTAACAATAAGCCCCGCTCAGAGGGAAGAAAAACCCCGGCGGGGTCCAGCGGGGCCCCAAGGCCCCCAAGTCAGCCCCTCCCCAGCCTCGAGGTCCTTCACCACAGGACCCGGGGCCGAGTCCTCTCCCCAAGCCCCAACCCCACAAGACAAGGATGGAGCAGCCATAGAAGCTGGAGGAAGGGGGGCCCACTGGACAGACCCAGAAGCTTCGGCCGGGAGACAAGACTTGAATGCCTCTGCCGCCCCTCCGGAAGGGGCACCCCCCGAGGCTGCCCAAGTCTCGAGATCAAGTAACCCCTGCTTCGACCTCGAAACCCTCAGATGCTTCAGGGCCGGAAGCTGGGGGAGGACCAGAACGAACAGAAGGGGAAGGACGAGGAGGTGCGGACTGAACCAGGATCGAAGCGACCCCCACCCCCAAGTCCGGGTCTCAAAAAGCAAACGGGGCAGCCCCGGGGCATCCGGGTGAGCAACCAACCGAGCGCGTTGCAACAGACGAAACCTAGACTGCAATGCACGAGCCGCCTGTACCCGAATAGAATCATCAGAGGATTGGGTAAATTGAGTCACAAGCAAGCAGCAACACTCACAGGACTAAGGGTCGAAAGTATCACCGACCCAACAGGCAGCG